TTGAGATTATTGTCATTGGTACGGAGATCAAGGTATCTCATATTAAAATTACTTTTCAACGAGATAATAATATTAGGTCATTACTGCATCGATTAATAGTTTTGTTGATTTTGTTTTGTATAATTTTTTTCTGCTCTTTTTGGCGTATGGTGCTATTTTATTTTTAATTAAGTCATGCACACACTTAATATTTTTATTAATAATGTTAATAATAAAGTTTGGTTGCTGTTTCTTATTTATAAAACTGGCATGCAAATGTTGAGAAAAATATTTGATACTGTTGGTTACTATAGTGAGTTGATGTGTGCTCCTCCTTGAGGTGATGATTCCCTCCTAATGTTTATATTTTTCTAGAAAAGAAGTATGCAATTGCGGACCTTGAGGTTACTCTTGGTGACGATAAACATTTGGATGTGTGCGTAATAGCGCACAATTGGATGAGTGAAGACGGAGAAAATTGCCTTTATCCTACTTATTTAGCCCCTAAAAAACAAGGCATTGCGGCCAAGAAATGCATGGAGCCCACTGCAAAATTCAACACCTATCCGGCTACTATTCGTGCTTGATTTGGTAAGATAAATTCTCTCATTATTCTTTCTTTGCTTGTGTTAAAATTAAAAATGACAAGATAACCCAGGAAAAAAAGATTATATATAATTATATATAAATATATATGATTATATATGATCTATTGCTATTCATATCTAGTTATATTTGGAATTATATATGTCCATATATAATCATATATGGACCCATATATAATTTCATATATAGAGACAAAATTCATATATAATCATATATATTTATATATAATCTTTATTCCCCGGGATTGTACTTTTCTCGCTCATCTTTGTAAGTCCTGTCTCATGCTTTGATCATTTACTTTCTTGATTTTGATCACTGTACCGACACCTTAATTTTATTCTTATTTCTGGTGACATATGAGGAAGCAAGGAGGAAGCTGGAACGGGCTGTTGAGAAAACTGACCTAGAATCTGATGCAGATAGAGACAAAGGAAATCGAGGTTTTCGCAAGAGAAAACACTTAACAGATTTGTCATGGTCCGAAGATGAAGGTGATGAAAATCCGACAAAAGTGGGGAAGTCTCAACCTGCTTCACAGAAGGGCATTAGTCTTCCTTTGCCAACATTTACTTTCTCGACTGGAGCTGGAGAAACAGGTAAATATCTTTACCTTATTTATTTATAATTTAAGATTTCTATCTTAAGGAAAACTTTGAAAGATTTTAAATTATAAATCTTTTCTTTGTTTTTTGAAACATAATGAAAGATTTTCCATTGCTGTTTGACTTACAATTAATTTTACTTGGGGACTGCACTAAAAGAATTACTATTATTATTACATTATTTTTGTTCTGGTAGAGGATTCCAGGAAAACCAGTGATGGTTCAACATCCTGTCTGGCTGCCACAGTTAGTAAAGGCTATAATCTACCTTCAACTGAATCACAAAGTACCCATGCCCAGACCAAAGATAAGGGCTTGGATTTTGGCTCCATCACAAGTGACATTACTAAGTCCCAGATGAGCTCTACAGTCTCATTAACACCTTCTCCTCGTGGCGCATTAAAGACAATGACTGGTATGTCCAAAAATGTATTTTTAGTTGTGTCTTGAAACTCTCAAATATAGATATTATTTGAGAATTTAAATAATTATTTTTCTTTTTTTTTCATCTAGCTTTACCTAAAAGGCTATCACTTAATGTTAACCAACCGGACTCCAGTAATAGCAAGAAGCAATTAAATCGGGGCAGCAAAACGTCTGTCAATGTTTCCAAGTCCAATATCAACACTAAAAAAAAACAATTCAGCCAGAGCAAGGACAGAATAAGTGATAAAGGTAATGGGAATTATGATTATTTTTTGCAATAGTACTTAGTGAAAATAGTCAAAATGATGTCAATATGACATCAAAACCTAAATTTTTGTAATTTTTACTTTTGAAATTTTCACTAAATTTTGAAATACACAATCGACTCTCCGGAATACAAGTAAAATTCGGTATTATTTATGGGACGTTATGCAGTCACATTGCCATCATTTTGATCACTCATTTTGACATTATCCTTCTCATCAATTTGATGTCACTTTAATATCATTTTGACTAGGTTGTTTTCACTGGGTACTTTTATTGTCACCAATATAAGTTATACAACGTAAAATGAATTTAATTCGTTGCAGAGCCTATAGGAAAGCTACAAAAGTTTGCAAAAAAACATTCCAATGTTAGTAAACACAAAAATAAAAAAAAATAAAGAGAGAATAAAAAAAGGTATTGACAAAAATAAGAGTGTCTAACAATGTTGTTTTTTCTTTTATGTTATTATCAATTATGTTTTATTAATTATTTTACAGCAACAACAGATAAATCTCAACGACCTATTCTCGAAATTGTTGACATCAATAAAGAAGTAGAAAACAGTAATTCACTTGCTTCGAGTTTGTTGGAAAGTGGTAAAAGCCCCTCAAATCCTATTTTAAATGCCCTTTTAACAAATGAAAAAGATGGTAAGTTAATGATTGCATTTTCCCAGTTGAATGAACCAGTCGTTAGCAACAATGCAGAAACCACAAAATGTCGTGATAGTTTTGGATACATTTCTTTTGATAATATGCCTTGTTTCCAGGAGATGACATTCACAATGATTTTGAGGAGATGGACCCTCAAGCAACAAGCTCCCTACGAGGACGTGACCCTGCCTCTGACACTTTCTGCGAGGATGACACTAAAGATTCAGATAATTCTTATGAACCACATTCAAATAATGGTGAGATACTGTTTTGTTAATAACTATTTGGCATTTTATAAACAAATGTTCTTCTGTAAACTCATCGATTTATTTCTAATTACAGATTCAATTAGCCGCAAAAGTCCTGATTGTGTTGATGAGATGCGAATCAGCCAATCGCCAATGACTGATTCAAATTTAAGTGGGAACGAGATCGAGGCAATAAATGAAACCACTAACAAAACGGCTGTTAGCAACTCTGCTAACCAGATTGATAAATTTTCAGCTATTCGTAAATAACATTCTCTTCTTTCCAAATATGCAATTCTTTCAAGTATTAAACATCATTTTTTAAATTTATTTTGTTACTTTGCAGAGGTCATGAAACTGCAGTATGAGAAACTCAGTAGACTTGAAAAGTCACACGAAAAGCTCCAAACGACTATTGAAGAAATACGCCAACTTTTATTGAACAGAACAGAAGTTCTCCACCATCCAAAGGGCCTCCCAAGCCTCCCCTTCACAACATTCGAGAATGCTAAAACTGCTGAAGATCTCACAAATGGAAACCCTTCCATAAAGGATTATATTGTAAATTAAAAGATATAAATTATATATCTAACTTAAAATTGTATATTTTGTAACTTGAAGCTTTTCTCATTATTTTCTTCAATCTTAGGTAAAAAAATTAATGTTTGCAAGCTCTGGGAAGTGTGAGAAGAATTGCTCAAAGAAAGTTATGGCTCTTCTTATGACAAATCACACAGGAACATTCTTTAACTGGAAAGGCGGAAAAGGAAAGCAGCCATTTGGGAGCTGGCATTTAAAAGAAATAGTGATCAGTAAGTGAAATTGTGAAATTTATGTTCTTTTACATTACTTTCTTTCCTAACATTTTTTGTTGGAATTTTGACACTTTATAAATTTTGTGTTATTTTAGCGGCAATTAAAAAATTGAGAGGAGACAAACTAGACACAGGAAAGGCAGAAGATGGTATAAAGGAATGGTTGAAAGAAAGATGTTTTAGAAAAAAATAGTGTGAAATAAATTTTGTGAAATAAATAGCTTTTCTTTGAAATACTAGCTTTTCTTTTT